GTTTTGTTAGTGACGTCGATCGTAAGCGTTAGAACTAAAAATGGCGAGCATATATTGGCCCGAGCACTACTTGACTCTGGGTCACAAATGAACTTCATTACTAAAGAACTTGCTCAACGCTTACAGATCCGTAGGCAGGAATCGTGTATCAACTTGCTTGGAATTGGTCAAGCTAATTCCCAGGTTAAGAAAAAGATACACACTGTGGTGAAGTCAACGATTAATGGTAGTGAGTTTCCGTTTGACTTTTGGATTTTGAGAACTATATCGGGTTATCACCCTGAACAGTCAGTGAACGTGAAAGATTGGGACCTACCAAAGAACTTGCCATTAGCAGACCCATATTTCTACAAACCTCAGCGGATAGACATGTTAATTGGAGCTGAGTCATTTTTCGAACAGGAGCTGAGTCATTTTTCGAACTGTTGTCCGTTGGCCAAATAAAACAAGGGCCAAACCATCCCATCCTCCAAAAAACTCTCCTTGGATGGATAGTATCGGGAAAATATAAGGCAAATACCTCAACTCCTCAACAGCCTGTCTCTAGCCTGAATTGCCAAGAAGAATTACTCGAGTCGATAGATGGCAATTTGAAAAAATTCTGGTCGTTGGAAGAGGTACCAACGTCCAAAAAGCTTTTGTCACCTGAACAAGTGTTCAGGTTAATGAAGGTTAATGAAGCCGATAGGCGATACCAGTTGATAGTGTGGAGGAAAGACCCATCAGAGTCCTTGAAACTGTGCAAGCTCAAAACCGTTACATATGGCACTGCGCCAGCCCCATTCCTGGCCATAAGGTGTTTGAAGAGGTTGAGTGAATCTGTGAAAAATACCTTCCCTCGAGCTGCCGAAGTTATTGGTTCTGACTTTTACGTCGACGACATGTTAACGGGTGCTGGTTGCATTGAGGAGCTAAAGACAATTAAGTCTGAAATAACTCAGGTTCTTCAAAACGCTGGGTTTAAATTGGGCAAGTGGTTTTCAAACTCGCCTGAAGTTACTGCAGCCGAGAGCACGGTTAAGCCAATAATACTTTCGGACTCAGAACTGACTAAAGCATTGGGAATCGCTTGGGTTCTTTAAGAAGATGTGTTTTAATTTGAAATTGATGCTTCAGTCATGGGTTAAAGGGCGACCAAGCGGATCATCCTTTCGGTGACATCAAAGCTGTTTAACCCCCTTGGCGTATTAAGACCTATACTTATAAAAGTAAAGATCCTATTGCAGGAACTTTGGCTAAATAAGCTAGATTGGGACGAGTCAATACCACTGCACTTAGAAACAGAGTGGAACAAAATAAAAATTGCCTTGTCGCAATTAGAGGACATCTCAATTCCGAGATTCGTGTTTACCGAGCCGATGTCACCGATTCAACTTCATGCCTTTCTGACGCATCGATGAGAGGCTATGGAGCCTGCGTCTATATTCGTTGCGAATCTGCAGAAGGTATTAAAGTTTCATTGTTGACGGCAAAGTCCAAAGTAGCGCCGCTCAAGACAAAGACGCTCCCCCGTTGGTAAGTCTTGAGTTATGTGCCGCTAAACCTTCTCGCAGATCTCTGCCGCAAGATAAAGCTTCTAATAAAAGTTCCGATCGAACGAAGTGTATTTTGGTCGGATTCAGAAGTAACTCTTCATTGGATTCGATCGTCGTTGTCAACGTTCGTGTCGAATAGAGTAGCTGAAATTCATGAGTGGTCAGATGATAGCATGTACCAACTAAACAGAACCTGGCAGATATAGTGTCCAGAGGTGGAGACGTAAAGGAGACTGTAGAATCGATCTGGTTTACAGGTCCATCGTTTTTAAAGGAACCGGAAGATAAGTGGATGACGAGCCCCCGGTTTGATCCGTCACCAGAACTTCTACAGATGGAAGCGAAAAAGAATGCGGTCGGATTAACCGCAATCGTATCTACCTCAGATTTACTGGAAGTGATAGAAGGTTATTCCGCTCACCTAAAACTGCTGCGAGTGTTCGTTTATATGTTCCGCTTTATAAAGAAATCGAAGAAATTAGTAGTGAATTCTGATATTGTTCCCTCACCTGTCGAATATAATGAAGCCTTTAAGAAAATAGTCGAAATAGTCCAAGATGTCCAAGAATAGTCCACGAGTATCAAGATGAAATAAGAAGATCCGGAAAAGTGTTAGCCCCAGTCTACAAAAACTAAATCCCTTTCTTCACGAATCATCAGAGGCTGGGCTTACCTTTTCGTTGTTGCGGGTTGGGGGGCGACTAGCTAATGCTCCTATATCGTACGATGCCAAGTTTCCAGTATTGTTGACAAAACGCTCTCAATTTGTTCAGAGCTACGTCCGATACTTTCACGAGTCGAATTTTCATGTGGGTCCACGAGCTCTTGTGAGTCTATTGCGACAGCGCATATGGATCGTAAATGCGCAGGAAGTCTGCAGTCAGACAGTACGGTCATGCATACGCTGCTTTAAATGCAAGCCTCGTCTGATGACTCAAATCATGGGGGATTTACCCTTAGATAGTGTGGAGATCCGTATCGGCAGCGAAGAGCGACGGCAGAGATGGGATTGACGCGCTCTCTCAAAAGAAGTAAGAAGAAGAAAAGAGTTAATGTTCACCATTCGATCGGAGGCAGTTGACCGGTAACGCTCGTTGTGCCGGGACTAATAAAAGGAATTGAAATACCGAATTGAAACTGTTATTTAAATTGGGGATTTGGAGTCTTTACACTGGCGACGAGGAGAAAAACTGGAGTATAAATACTACCGGCCAAGTTAAAGAAAAAACTAAATAAAGAAGTAACGGGAGAAAAATGGCGCGTGCCTCGCCGGTACATATATATATGTAGGAGGCAGAAAAAGGAAAACGGCAAGAAAAGAAAAGGTGGACAGCACAAGCCGATTAAATTCCGGCGGCTGCACTAAAAGAGTCTGTTCCTAAGAGAACGAGAGCCAAATAAGAGCGAACGCTATTTGTAATTTTCGCATTAGGAGAATCTTTTTTCCAAATGGAACGAGATTAAGCAGCGTTAGCCGATTAAATTCCGGCTGCTGCATTAAAGGAGTCGGTTCCAAAGGGAATGCGATCCAGAGAAAAAAAAGAGCAGTGCTAGCGGATTAAATTCTTGCTGTTGCATTAAGAGAGCCGGTTCCAAAGGGAATGCGGAGGAAAAAAAATAAGAAGAGCGAAACATAATTTGAGATGTTCGCATAAAGAGTCTATTCAAAAGGGAATGAAACCAATAACACAAAAAAATAAGGGATTGCTAATGGCCATCTAACTCTAATTACCTTTCAGGTTATATTAAACATGACGGAGTTAAAACCATTCCTGTGCCAGGGAATGGATAAAGCGCTATGGAGGACAGAGTGGGAGGCGTGGTTGCGCGCGTTTAATATATATATTGACACGGAGGAGATCACATCTGTATGTAAAAAGAGAAACAAGCTTCTTCACCTGGGTGAACCGCAGCTCCAGGCAGTAGTCTATAGCATTCCGGGAGCATTAATTTCTTTTGTCGAAGAGGAGCAAAATGATGTCTTAACACCTCTTATTACCAAATTGAACGAGTATTTTTCACCGCAACGCAACTCGGCTTTTGAGAGACATTTGTTTCGATCGATGACCCCAATAGAGGGAGAATGTTTCACAGAGTTTTTGATGAGGCTTCGCCGCCAAATAGTTAAATGTTCATTTGGAGAGACCAAAGAACAGATAGAGGATATCTGTCTAAAAGATAGGATCATAGATGTCTGGGCTTCGTTCGAGCTAAAAAAAAAAGCTATTGGAAAATGAATTTACTTTGGAGGAGGTCATAAAAACATGTAATATCGACGAACAAGTTAATAAACAAACGCAATCTATGATCCCGCAATCGAATGCAAATAGCATCAACAAAATAGTTCAGCGAAGCGCGATTTCCGAATGTGGCAGATGTGGCCAAAAAGAGCACCAAGAAAATAGTTTGGACTGCCCAGCCAGAAACGCGAAATGCAGGAAATGCGAAAGGATTGGACATTTTTATCGGAAATGCCGTACAAGGAAAAGCAAGCCATACGACAAATGGGAAGGACCAGATAGAAAACGACGACAACGTGATCATTCTATAATTAAGTCCATATCTAGTGGCTCTAAAAGTTACTCGGATGGTCCAAACGCCGCGGAATTATTCAGAGTGGAACATGGATCGTCACGAGAAGAAGAAATTCCATGTAAAATAGGGGGCGATACAGTCACTATTATAATTGATTCGGGCTCGAAGTACAATCTAATAAGTCAGTCGGATTGGCGACAATTGTGCGAGAAAAGGGCAGTAAAGTTTAACTCGCGCCCGGAATCAGCCAACCAGTTTCGCGCATATGCTTCTGATCATCTGCTTAAAGTGCTCTAAGTTTTTGAAGCCCCGATTTCGGTGCTAAGCGATCCTGAACTGATTGCTATTTTTTACGTCATTGAAAATAGTAGACAATCGCTGTTGGGACGTGACACAGCAATGAAACTCAAGGTTCTAAAACTGGGTTTAGATGTACATCGAGTTGAAAAGGCCGAGCCTTTCCCCAAATGGCGTGATGTGTCGGTCAAGCTGTTCATTGATAAGTCAATAGTCCCAGTGAAGCAACCAATGAGGCGAGTGCCAACAGCGTTGGAAAGTAAAGTCACCGATAAATTGGAGGAAGCATTAAATTTGGACATCATCGAACCATTATTGGGCCCGAGCGCTTGGATTTCGCCAGTCGTGATTGCGTTTAAGGACGACTAGGATATCCGGGTATGCTTGGACATGAGACGCGCAAACAAGGCAATACAACGAGAAAACTACCCGTTGCCAACGTTTGAAACGTTTATGACTAAGCTGAAAGGTGCTAAGTATTTTTCGCGACTCGATTTAAAGAGCGCTTACCATCAGCTGGAGCTAACCGAGTCCAGCCGAGAAATTACTACCTTCATAACGCACCTCGGGTTATTTCGATATAAGTGGCTGATGTTTGGCGTGAATTCAGCCCCAGAAATATTTCAACGGTTAATGGAGCAAATGTTGGCCCCTTGTCAGAATGCTTTGAACTACATTGATGACGTGATCATATTTGGCAAAAATATTGAGGAGCACGACAAATCACTCGCAAAGGTCAAGGAAATATTTCGAGCTAATAACGTAGCACTAAATGAGAAGAAATGCGTATTTCGAGTACAGAAATTGAAATTTCTAGGTCATATCCTCTCGGACAAGGGGATCGAAGTTGACCCCGAGAAAGTAAAGGTGATAACAACGTTTAGAGCGCCCAAAAATAAAGAAGAGGTACTCAGTTTCCTCGGTTTAGTCACATACATTGGGAAATTTGTATCTGATCTGGCGGATAATACAGAGCCTTTGAGGAAATTACTGAAAAGCCATGAAACGTTCTGTTGGGGCAAACCACAGGAAAAAGCATTCCAAAATCTCAAAGCTAAGATTTTCACAGTTCCAATGCTGTCATATTTTATCCTGCAGGATAAAACGTGTTTGATCGCAGATGCCAGCCCAATGGCCTTGGGAGCAGTGTTAGTGCAATTTGATAAATCGAATACTGCACGCATAATATCGTTTGCTAGTAAGATTTTGTCGTCGGTGAAAAAAAGATATTCACAAACAGAAAAAGAAAGCCTGGCATTGGTGTGGGCAGTGGAAAAATTTTATTATTTTTTAGCGGGATTAAAGTTTGATCTGATAACTGACCACAAGCCACTTGAATCAATCTTTAAACCAACTTCGCGACCCCCGGCCAGGATTGAAAGGTGGTTGCTCCGATTACAATCTTACCGATTCCGTGTGGTATATAAGGCAGGAAAGGAGAATATTGCCGACTCACTATCAAGACTTTGCGAAGTAACCGATGCAGACCCTTATGACTGGGCTGGTGAGGAACACATATTTCGCGTGGTGTCGACCTCAATTCCTAGATCGCTCTCCATATCGAAGGTCACAGAGATGAGCACTCAGGATAAGGAAATAATAGACGTGATGACATGCCTTGGTCAGGATTCATCGAACTCAAATATGTCTAGCTCGTACTATCCATTTCGTTTAGAACTCTCGATTGTGGGTAATATTCTTTTGCGGGGCACAAGACTAGTAATTCCGCGGAAGTTACGTGGACCGGTACTTGAACTCGCTCATGAAGGGCATCGCGGGATAAGCGCTATGAAACGGAGGCTTCGCTCCAAAGTTTGGTGGCCGTGTATGGACAAGGACACAGAACAGTATGTTAAGGAGTGCCGCGATTGCCTGTTAGTATCAATGCCATCAAATCCGGCCCCCATGAAAAGACATCCGTTTCCGAATGGACCTTGGAGATGCGTAGCGACCGATCTTTTGGGCCCATTACCAAATGGTGAGAATGTACTCGTATTAATAGACTATTACTCGCGGTATATGGAATTCAAACTTATCAAGTCGATATCATCGAAAACCATTATTGAGGAAATGGAAGAAATCTTTTCCAGATTGGGATTCCCGGAAACATTAACAACTGATAATGGAAGGCAATTTGTCAGCGTCGAATTCAAAAATTTTTGTGAAAGCAGCGGCATTCGGCTAATGCCAACTCCCCCATACTGGCCCCAGGCCAACGGCGAAGTAGAAAACATGAACAGATCTCTGGTGAAACGCCTAAAGATAGCTCATGCCAATAACGACAATTACAAAAAAGAAATTCAAAAATTTGTATTAATGTATAACGTCACTCCACACGGGACCACGGGCGCACCACCAACAGAGCTAATGTTTAACAGAGTGATAAGGGACAAAATTCCTAGCATACAGGACCTCGTGGGCGAAACGGTTGATTCAGAAAAGAGAGACAGGGACGTCTGGAAGAAAGAGAAAGGGAAAGAGTTAGCCGACAACGCTAGGAAAGCGGGAGTGATCGATATAAAAGTAGGTGACAAGGTTCTCCTAAAAAACGTAATATTCCCGCATAAGCTGACGCCAACATTCGATACGACCACATATGAAGTAACTAACCGAGAGGGAAATGTTGTCCAAATTTCTGGTGGCGGTAAGTCATATACTAGGAATGTAAGCCACTTGAAAAAGATCAACGGCGCAGACTCATCGAAATCGTCTAACTCGGTGAGCCCCGATGTTGAGATATCTCCCTCAGCTATTCCTTTACAGCCGGTTGCCGAAACTCTGACGCCACAGGAAACTCCGGCATCAAAGGACCTCCCTGACCCGAACGAGAACCTGAAGCTCCGTCTGGAGAAAAAAGAAGGGGTGTGGAGATGCGTATCGGCAGCGAAGAGCGACGGCAGAGATGGGATTGACGCGCTCTCTCAAAAGAAGTAAGAAGAAGAAAAGAATTAATGTTCACCATTCGATCGGAGGCAGTTGACCGGTAACGCTCGTTGCGCCGGGACTAATAAAAGGAATTGAAATACCGAATTGAAACTGTTATTTAAATTGGGGATTTGGAGTCTTTACAGATAGAATTCGTGCTCTCCGCCCATTCTCCATATGTGGTGTTGATTTTTGTGGACCTATTGATACGACATTGAAAATTCGTGGTAGGCCACCCTATAAGTCCTACATTGCCTTATTTGTTTATTTTGCGTCCAAGGCAGTTCATTTAGAAGTAGTTTCCGACCTTTCAACTGATTCCTTTTTATTGGCTTTTCAAAGGTTCGTTGGGCGCCGAGGATGTCCGCAGATCGTGCACTGCGACAACGCGACGAACTTCGTCGGAGCGATTCGCCACTTCGCAGACCTTCGTCGGAGAATCGAGGACGAGGTCGACGCGGTCACGCAATACGCACCAAAAAGCGGATGCCTATTTGCGTTCATACCGCCGCGGGCTCCGCACATGGGCGGACTATGGGAAGCAGGTGTGAAGTCTGCAAAACACCTACTCCTACTAGCGGTAGGGAACGCCAGACTGACAGCGGAGGAGCTGCAGACCGTCCTCGTTGGAGTCAAGGCGCGGTCTGAAGGGTCAGGGTCGCCGTCGGCCGAACTAGCTCTGGAGCGGAATACAGGAGAGCGGTCCACAAGCTGGCGCGGCTGCCAGTTGGACGAAGCCTGATGGAGGCCTTCAACGGGGCCGGTGTTAATTGATTTGTTATTTTATTGAAGTTGTCGAAAATTGTGAATTATTATATAAATTGTGAATATATAAAAAGAATTATAGTTTATAGCAGAATTGTATTTTGCAGTTGTTAGTCTCTAAATTTACTCTAAGATAGCTTAGGGCGGAGCGGGAGCGAAAGCTCATACTCGCTCTTGTGCGAATTCGCCCCGCTTCGCCGCAATAGATAAGTTAGGCTTAAGATTAGAGAAAATACATTCGAATTTGTAACGTTGATGAGGCACGACCATTTCTTTTGTTTTCGTTTTTCGCACATTTTTAAATATTTAGCAGCCACCCTTTTTTTTTTTTTTATTATTTTGCAAGTCAATCTCGTTGTACAATCAGCATACATAAATGTAGTAGCATAGCTTACAACCGTAGGTAAATCGTTGACAAAAAGAACAAACAGAAGAGGTCCCTTGTGGGACACCAGATGAAACGTTTATAATCTGTGATGAACTGTTTTTAAACAAAACAAGCTGCGTGCGGTTCGATAGATAGGATAGATAGGATAGGTCATAGATAGATAGGATCAACCACTGTACTTTATATACAGAAAACCCCATAAGACACAGCTTATGAAGGAGGAGGTGTATACCACATCAGTTTACATTCGGCTCAGAAAACCTCTGCGGATAAACGAAGTGAATTCAAGAAGGTTAGTTGTGGTAGAGCGATGCTTGACAAAACCATGCTGTGAAGTGGAAATAATGCTTTTACATAAATGTAGCAGTTGGAACGTAACCAGTTTCTCAAGCAGTTTGGGAATCGCAGATAGCTTAGCAATCCCCCGGTAGTTCTTAATAAATGCTTTAGATCCTTTCTTATGAAGCGGAATAATAAATGATTCATTCCAGCTCTTGGGAAGACATCCAAGGATAGGTTGAATAAGATAGTGAAAGGATAGCAAAAGATATCAGAACAGTACCTTAGAACACATCTACGTACATTGTCAGGACCAGCAGAGAATGTGATATCTACTGTTGAAAGAGCTTCGAACACATCCTGAATTCGAAATTTTGAAAAGTAATTGTTGTTTATATATTATAACCCCTCCACTTAAGGGGTTTGACCCTTAGAATATCAGATAATAAGTTGTTCTCAGAGAAAGAAGGACAGAAAATTAGATTTGCTCCTTGAATGTTATATGCATTAAGGAAATATGGTCGGAAAATTCAAGTTTAATGTCTAATAGGACGCCGAGATCATTAACCTTAATTTCTCTAAGGCAATCCCATTAATAGAATACGTAGCTTGCAGAGGGCAAGAACGACAAAAAAAAAAAATATGCTTGCATTTTGATCCATTAAGTATTAGATTATTAGTTAAACACCATTTTTGAAAGTTTACTCAACAAGAGTGAGTGATTTACTGAATCAAATGCTTTGCTGAAGTCTGTGTAAATTACATCGGCTTGATATCCCTTACAAAAGCCATCTATGACAAAGGATGTCAACTCCAATAAGTTTGTGGTGGTGGAGTGACGCTTAATAAAGCCATGCTGACAGGGAGAGATAATCGAAGAGCAAGAAGGTGTTGCAAATGAGGGGTAATTAATTTTTCAAATAACTTTGGAATTGCCGAGAACTTACAGATGCCTCTGTAGTTGGCAGCATCGGACTTTTTCCCTTTTTTATGTAGGGGAATTATGAATGATTCCTTTCACTTAAGGGGAAAAATCGAGGTTTCCAAAGATAAGTTGAAAAGTCTTAGAAGAGGTTTGCACAGAGCCCTGGCGCAGTATTTTAGCACACAGCCTGGTACTCCGTCGGGGCCTGGCGAATAAATGGGTTTCGACCTTAAAAGACCAGATAATAAGTTTTTCCCAGAAAAAAACGGACAGAAAATAAGATTTGCTGCTTGAATGTTATATGCGTAAGGCTCAAATTAGGCGGAGAATAAGTTGTTTGAAAAAATTCTGCGAGTAGATAGGCAATGGCCTGATCCGAAGTCGCAGAGGAATTTTCAAACGTAAGCAGGGGTGAAAAAGATACGTGTTTACGCTTAGTGTTTACAAAATTATAAAACTGGTTTGGATCTTGAGTAAATTGTATCCGGCAGCGGTCAATATAATTCCTATAACATTCAGCGTTATGCACGGTAAAATTCGACCGAGCTAGTAGGTATCTTGAGAAATCAACACTACTGCAGGTTTTTTTAAATTTAAGTAAAAGCTTATTTTTTTTATTTTTTAAGTTAGTAAGGCACCTTGTAAACCAAGGAGGATTTGTTGAAGCGGACGGATATTTCCAAGGCACACATGAGTCAAAAAATTTATTTATAGTAAAATAAAATTTTTCTAAACTCGCTGCGTGTGGTTCGATAGATAGGAGGTCAACCACTGTATGATTTGTGGAGAAAACCCCATATGATACAGCTTATGAAGAAGAAGGAGAAAGGAGTAATAATTCACAGAATCGAATGCTTTGCTTAAATCAGTGTATACCACATCAGTTTGCATGCAGTTCAGAAAACCTCTGTGAATGATCGAAGTGAATTCAAATAGGTTAGTTGTGGTAGAGCGATGCTTGACCAAACCATGCTGTGAAGTGGAAATAATGCTTTTACATAAATGTAGCAGTTGGAACGTAACCAGTTTCTCAAGCAGTTTGGGAATCGCAGATAGCTTAGCTATTCCCCGTTAGTTCTCAATAAGTGCTATAGAGCCTTTCTTATGAAGCGGAATAATAAACGATTCATTCCATCTCTTAAATAAGATAGTGAGAGGATAGCAAAGGATATCAGAAGGCATTATGAATTATTTCGTAAAACGAATCCGTAGCTGCTTCAATTGTGTTTATAGACGAAAGAACATTCCAATCGATTTGCAAAAATGTTGCAGTTGGAACGTAACCAGTTTCTCAAGCAGTTTGGGAATCGCAGATAGCTTAGCAATCCCCCGGTAGTTCTCAATGAGTTCCTCAGAGCCTTTCTTATGAAGCGGAATAATAAACGATGCATTCCATCTCTTGGGAAGGCATGCCAGCTCCAAGGATAAGTTTAATAAGATAGTGAGAGGATAGCGAAAGATATCAGAAGGCATTATGAATTATTTTGTAAAACGAATCCGTAGCTGCTTCAATTGTGTTTATAGACGAAAGAACATTCCAATCGATTTCAGCCAAATGATTCCGAAGGGCTATAAAATCAGTCTTTCTGAAGCATTTGAAACGAGGTTGAATATTAAAGCAAGCTTCATTCTGAGGCACATCAATTAACACCGATGCTAATAGTGTAGGATGGTAAAAGTCTTCAGGAAGAGGATGACGCGTTGGAAAAACACTATGAATTGGGAAACAAGAATTTCATAATCAGAGGAGTTAAACCAAGTTTCAGTAAGCACGATAGCATCAAAATTAAAAGAAGCACTCTTTGTATAGAGTTCAGAATACTTCTAACGTTTTGATAGCAACAGGAAAATACTATGTTATTCAGTTTTTTGAAGCAGTTTCTGCAGGGCTGGGATTCTGAGCATCTTTTGCTAGGAATCCATTAATGATACTGTGCTCAGGCCAAGGAAGGAATCAGGTAGGTCTATTTTAAAAGAAGAAATAGAACACTTATGCTTAAAGTTAAATTTAAAAACATTTCATTAGCTATTTCATTAGGAGCTACCTTAACATGGTTTAACAGGTGACTCCTGGCGTCATCAACAGTAGCATCCGGCATAAGCCGAGAGACAAATATGGCCTTACGAGGAGCAACCTGAAGTTAGCAACCTAACTTCAGGCGCCACACCAATCAGAGGCGTTGGAGACATCACAGCATAAGCAGAGGGTAGGAGGGTACGCTCCAAGATGATAGGAGGCTCGAGATTTTTACTCAGTACGCTGATCGCTTCTTGCAAGGGATAAATATTAGAGTGCCCTGAAGGAAGGCTCAGGTAGACAAGTAGGCGATGGTAAAATGTTTGGCGTTGAAAATTCATCGACTTGTACAGCATGGGATTTAGGGGTATTCAATAATTAAGCAGTCAGCAGGATGTTGTTCGGAATTTTTCGTCTGGGGGATTCGCGTTACAACTTTAACCCATGGAATTGAGTTTCAAATGCGAGGAATTGCTCATTAAGGGCCGAGAATTGCTTGCGAACATCTAGAAAACCATTTCTCGTTTGTCTCATAAAAGTCCGCATCTCTGACTCAATTTCTCTACAAGCGATTCAAGACCAAGTCAGGCCAATTTTCTTGTTGATAAGGTCACTTATCCGTCCATTGTGTCCTC